GTTCAGTTTTCAAAAGATAAAGAACAAACAAACAAACAAAAAAAAAGTGATAGAGTGAAGAGGTGGTGAGCGAAAACACATAAAAGAATTGTCAAAAGATTCGAGCCTGATTTACGACAAATAGATGAATTGATGCGTATGTATACCTCCAAGCTAAGCATATTGATTATTGGAGTCCTTGCGAATTTAAGAATAGTAGCAATAAGCACTGAGATGGGAAGTAAGAATAGAGGGAAGTAAGAATAGAATTAAAAAACCATAAGGCAGTTTAGAAAAGAGGAACCTTTTGTTTGCATAAATGTCACATGTCATCCACCAAGCTTTGTGGATAGCTCCTGGCTGAGGAAAGTACATTCACGGTAGTCATCTTTTAGTAAAGGGAAGAATGTTCATCATCTGTCAAAGGGAAGAATATTTAGTCAAAGGGAAGAATAATCATATAATTTGTCAAAGGAATGTTCATACAATCTGTCAAAGGAATATTCATATAATCTGTCAAAGGGAAAAACATTCAGTCATCATACAAAGATGCTATAACTGTTGTAGCATCTTTGTTTGCAAGTAGATGTTTTATAAATGCTGTATGGTCTTTTCTTTGAGGTTTTACAACCAGGTGTCTTCAACAGCTAAATTTTCGATTGGCAAATGTTTAATCAATGTTGGTTAGGAAGTTTTAAATTCAGCAAAGAATTTAATCTCTGCACCAAAAATAGTTTAAAATATTTTATTCCAAACTGCTCAACAAAGATTTTAAGAATAAGTTTGTTGATAGACAAGATAAAATTTTTTTTGATTCAATCAATTTAAAAGCACCACTTTTGAGGTGAGTTGACCATCAAATTTTTAATAACACTTTTAACAATCCTCTGTTAATTTCATATTCTATTTGTTCTTTGAAAATTTAACATTCTGTTAGTCTAAGTGTTCAGAAATAAAAACTGTCCAAGTTTTTATCAACAGCTTTTATTACAGCATACACAATCATAGTTGTTGTTTTATTAGACGATATCAGCTTTACTACTGCAGAAGTGAGTTCATCTTATTGCATAATTCTTTTCGAGAGGTGAAGATTAACAAATTTTGACTGTCTTTCCGTAAAAGGTTCATTATTCAAATTACAATCCTACCCTAAACCAACTTCTACTTAAGCAGCATCAATGTTTTTCCTCATATTCTGTTCTTTTTTATTAACTTTCATATACTCATTATCATGATTATACCGTTTATCTTTCTTTTTTTTTTATAGCTGAGTATGATATTTCGATTATATTTGACTTTTTACATAATTTCTCTTTCTCAATAATTTTCTCAAGTCTGTCCATGGTTGTCTTTCTATGGCACAAGCATGGATTTGATAATTTCTTGTATAGCATCAGCTGATGCCATACTATTTGTAAACATCCTTAAATTTCAAGATCATGTCATTTAGGATATTGATTTATTCTACCAAATTTCATATAAATACATTAGTCTTCATTAAGTTAATGTGTCACAAGTTTTTCCTAGTTTTGTTAAAAAAAAAGTGGTCGTTTTGTTATGAAATAACAAAACGACGTGTTTTTTAAATTTGTATTTAATTCTAGTTTTTTGTTAAGTTTTCTTTATTACTCTTACTTATTACTCTACTTTACTTATTACTCTTATTATCTTTCTATTACTGCACAAGAAAGTAGTTTTTTTTTCTAGGCTAACCACCTCAAGACTTGGATTTTCATTCATTATCTTTTGGATATAAACTTAATCAATGCATATTCAAAACTTAGTTTTTATTTATTTACCTTGGACAAGATATTCTTGATATATTATGGATTTGCGAAGCTTTTCTCTAGCTGTTGTCATATGTTTTTTCACCTTTTTCAGATTAATCTTAAAATTAAGTTTTAAAGTAAAATTTATAGTCATATAAAACAATCATCATACTAGATAATAACGACGATTTTAAATTTGTCTAATTTTTTAAGTTTAGTTGCAATTTAGGTTCAAACTGGTTAAATTGTTTTTGAAGGTTTATTCCTGGAAGGAAAAGCGAAATGTAGACGTACATTGTACGTACAATGTACGTACTTGTGCCCACTGGGTTGTGTACGTTCTATTTGCAATATTTTGGAATGCTCTCATATCGGACAATATTAGCTGTACTAAGTACAGGATCATTTTCATTAACAGGATTGCTTACCTTTTTCTTTGCTACGTTATGCAAAGAAACTTTGAATTATTATGATTTTGTATTTTACATTTAAATCCACATAACGCCTTAAATAATTCACAAGTTATTAATGCCCTTCAAAATTTAAAAACAAAATTAAAATATATTTTACATGATGCAGTAAAAGAATGGATATGATAATATAACTCTGTACCGAGTACATAAACTAATGATGAGAAATGATCCTTTATGAAGATTATAAAAAAAGAATCCGGGTTAAATCTAATAAAAGCAAACGGTATTATTAACTATTATTAAATATTTCCAATTATTGTTTAATTTTTTACGTTACATATGAGGAGCGGCGATGTATCGTTTAAAATCGTTATATACGTCAATGGATTGTGTTCATTACATCATGCTCGATGCATTGAAACACGTATCGTTAAATAATACATCGATTAACCATCATTGTTAAACAATGCATTTAATGACTGGGTTGTTAAACTGGATTGTTAAACATTGCATTGAAGGAATAAAAGCAAAATTCATAAAACAGCTAAATTTAAAAGTAAAATTTTATTTGGTTAGTTTTATTTACTATTGTGCAACAATAATGAATTAGAAAATTTACAGAAAAAAAAAGTTGCAAAATGTTCACATATTGCATTTTCTTCATGTGTCTTTAGCTTTCTTTTATATAAACAAGTTTTTAAACTTTGTATCATAGCAGATTTGCTCTTCTGTCACAAAAGACTTTTCCAGCTGTGAAAATATTTTTTTCAGAACTGGAGGAAGATGTTAATCACCAATATTCTTCTGGCAAAGTGTTTGAGATTAAATGTTTTGTTCTTCAAGTAACAAAGTATATACCATTATTGACAATCGATGTGGTTGGTAAATAGCTTTCTCACTTCGCTCTCATCTTGTTACCAAGTAACAAGATGAGTACCAAGATACCAAGTACCAAGTGTATGTAAGTACCAATGAGTACCACGATACCAAGATACCAAGTAACAAGTAGGTTCTTCCTTCACGGTTATTAACCACTTTTCAAAAAGTTTGAATCTTCGAACTTTTATAAGACCTTGGTTCGTATCCAGTTGTTTTGTTTTCTTAATGCTGTACTTGTATCTATACCATTGTGTCGTATGTATTATCATTAAGGGATTTTGATGTGTTGGACGAGGGCGTCTTTGTAAGTACGGCTTTTCATATGCTTTTTCCAATAATATCTAGGTCATTTTGCACCTTTGCCAAATGCACTGCGATATTCATCCTTTGTAAGTGGAATTCAACGTGTTTGCATATGAGTATTCTAAAACTCTAGCTCCTTATTTGGAGAACCTGCCATTCATTTTCAACAAGTAATAATCAGCAACCTTTTTTATTATTGGATTGTGTGGATCATATGATATTAACTATAATTCATCTTTCAGATCAAAGAGGTATGGAATGACATTAACTATTGAGACACCTCGTTTTTCTGAACTAGCAAGGCTGGAGAGCTTTTTAAACATTTTAATTGCTCCGTCATTGTCCTCAATTGTTTAATCTCGGTATTTGTTGAATAGCTGTTGTAAAACATCTTTTTCTGCTATAATTCTGATTTAACCCTACCCTGATGGCAGGCAGTTGGTTATTTTTTGATTGTAATTGATGGAGCTCACTCTTTTATCTGTTTGAATAACTTTGAATTAGTTTTTTAATTGCATTATATGGATTTTTCATTACTTTACAAAAAGTAAATCCTTTGATTTCTGAGAATGATTGAAAAAGCCAATCATTTTTTTTACTAAGTGTCTTGTTAGTATGTTTATAATAGTTAATAATGTCAATTGTTGCTCTAACTTTCTTTTTTCTTTTTCATCGATTTTTTGGCGTTTTATAGTCTGTCTTTTAGAAATCTCAGCTCTAATTTCAGAATGTTGTAGTCGAGTTTTTATTTGTTTTCTACGTGCTGCCTGCATAGACCACTGAACTACCATTTTACCATGAAAAACTTTCTTGAGGAACTTGATGAAGGTTTCACTAAAGAATAACAATTATTATAAACCTATTTATAAAAAAAATTAGTAATAATACAATTTTCAAGTTTTTGCTTCATATACACATACTAACATAAAAAGGCATTTAAGATAATGATTTATGATTAACAATATATTAAACGATTTACTTAATTTAACAATTTAAGATTAATAATACATAAGGCAATCTATTTAGTTATACGATTATTAGTACATTAGACAATTTGTTTTTATTTTCTCAAGTAAAATTTTGAAGCATTGTAATGAACATAATCGTAAATCAAAAAACAATTACCGTAAATAATTTTATACCATTTTATATATTATTTTTTTACATAACGTATTGTTAATCACTCAGGTATATTTTTATTTAATTAACTGTGTTTGATGCATTAAATAACTCATCGCACTCATTCTATCGAACACGAAAAACATGGAACGCGATTAATCAACTTATTAAACGATACATCGCCGCTATATTATAAGTTCCATTACTTAATTTAATTGTTCTTTACTGGTTTTATGTTAGCAGGTGCTTTTCTACGACAATCGGATTTTATGTTAGCAGGTGCTTTTCCACGTCAATCGGATTTTATGTTAGCAGGTGCTTTTCCACAACACTCGGATTTTATGTTTAGGAGGTGCTGTTTCACGACAATCGGATTTTAAAAACGAATCTCTTTTCTTCTCATCGTTATACATCTTTACCTGATCATAAATGTTTCTTTACAAAAAATTATTTTTTAATTATTTTGCATGTCAAACTTTAGGTTTCTCTATACTTGTGTTCTTTCAAAAGCTTATCATTTTTGTAATTTTGAATTTAGATGGAAAAAATTAACCTAGTGGGTCAGAAGACAGAGCAAGTATATGGCATGGTATTACCCAGTTATGATGAGGTACGTACGATGATCCAAGCTATAGAATTTTTACTTCATAATTTTGAAAAAGATAAGGATAACAATAAACGACTAAAAACGAGAGATCAGTTGTTGCAACGCTTGAGAGAGTTTTTAGAAAAATACAACTTAACTAAATCAAAAGATAGCGAATGTAATATATTGTAACTTGTCCATTATATAAGTTAAACTGTTTTACTTATAAATATGAACAAAATTTTCTTAAAATATATAAAGAAAAAAGTTTGTAAGGTCATATTTGTTCACAATATTTTTTTTAAATAAATAACGTTATAACAAGACAAATGGAGCGGTATGTTAGTTTTTCAGTAGATTAAATTTTTATATTATTTAACTTTTAAAATTTGCTGTTTTTATTTGGAATTAGGGTTTTATGTCCCAAAAATCTGAATGCACAGACTACTTTTTACATTACGTTACCCAATTCATCCAACCATTACCCAAAATCCTTTTATCATATTTCAGAGAAACTTTGCGCAATTTTTTCACATTCTCCACAACCACCAACTTCCATTGCAAAAATTCACGTTGGTTACTGCAGGCTTTATGTCTTTTAACACTAGCATATCACATTCCACATAAGGAAGGCATGAAATCTATTAAACAGTACTTCGACAACGTATCGCACCATTTTGACCACATAATTCCAGATTTTCGATAACATATAAATTATGATCGATACCATTCTCACTACCACTACATTTCAGTTCGCCGACAAAAACTACTTTTAACTAACAGGAACCACAACAGGAACCTAAATGTGGCTATTAAGTTGCTCGCAGAAGTTATAACAGTTTATTATAGTTTTTATCATATTCGCAGAAGTTAAAACGCTCTTTTCATAGAGTCTTGCAGAAGAACAATTACCTAGGAGGTTCTCGCCAAGCCAATTTTAACCAATATTGGTTATTTATAAGCTTCAATAGTTCCTAACCAATGTTGTTTTCTGAGCTGGAGCCAGCCTTAAACCTCGGACCTTCTTGTTCTGAGAAAAAATTATAATCACGGGGTCACGGCTGCACATAATGAAAATGTAACAAAATCAAAAGCCTTCAAAAATTGAACAAAAAATTATTATAACATGAATAAAAATAAAAGCAGTTGCAAATTTTAATTAAAGTTACGTCAAACAAATCGAAATTCAGGAGGAAAAAAATGTCACAAAATTATATATAACTAATTATTATTTTTTAAACTCATTTTAGGAACATACACTTGCAATTTGAACAAAATTTAAATGGCACATGGCAACTTTGAGTTGAAATTGCAGACAATCTTAAATACAGCTATTTAGCCCAACAAACGCAGTACCCAAAGTGTAATAAATGTTCTTTATTTGATTTTTTATACGTCATATTTTATAGTGCAACAAACAACGTTGTGTAAGTAACGAATGGTAGTATAACAAAGCTACACAAGAAATAACTTTTTTTTGCATTTAAAATCATTTGATTGTAACAACAGTCTAAAACTTGTTGCTGTTTTTCTTATAAATAAAGTAAGTAAACCAACAACAGATTAAATGAGATTAAGGCGTTTGGTATATCTTTGAAAATCTTACACGTTGAATTAAAGTTTACTAGTGTGTTCTTGAGGAAATGCTTACTTTGAACTTGCTTGAGTTTTTCGTTATTTAAATTTAGTTTTTTCAAAGTTAACTGAAATAAAAAGTTAATCACAAATGTTACTTTTTGGAGTTGGACAAAGAAATGGCAGTTAACAATCAACTAAATGAAAACTTTATTAATATTCCTAATGATCACTTATTTTTATCGGGTATTTAATTCATAATTAGATTTAAAAAAAAGTTCTAGGAAATATTATGTAACGTTTAATTCTAATTAAAATTAGTTTTTGTTAAACTATCAAAATTTTGATTGATACATTATATAAATAATAGTTAAGTATACAGCAGATCTGGACACAATATAAGCATTAGTTTGCAGCATTATCAATCAAAATTTTTATAAATTATCAAAAATTAAAAAAATTAAAAAAAAACAAAACATATCCATGTCCAACAAACTATATTGCAAACCAAAACATTAAATTGTTTTCATAATAACAATGAAAGTTTCCAGAATGTTAATTTCTAATAAAAATTAAAAAATAACTTTCGAATTTAACTGAAAGTTAAAAATTGTCATTCTTAAAAATATTATGCATGTATATATACATTAAAGCAGTTCATAAAAAACTTTTTTTTGAAAATGTCCGCTCCAAAGTTGTTAATTTACTTCAATGGAGTACACATAGTTATATTCCAAATTTCATCAAAATCGGTTCATATCTTCCTCCTCATATATCCCTCCTCCATATCCTTCCTCCTCATATATCCCTCCTCCATTGATTTGAAATTTCTGACTTTGCGCAACAGGAAAATGGCCCACAAAACTACAATATTTTTCACTTTATTACCAATTGAAGAATGTTAAGCAGGAATTTTAATGTTTTTAAAGAACAATAAAAGATGCAGGATATAATTTCATGACTAATATCTTTTTTTGATCCACATTTTTCTCATAGAATGCATTTTAATATCAATATTCTTTCTTTTTTACAAATTATAATGACAGGTTTAACAAAAATATCTACCCGAATGGCAACAGATCAGCTTGCCTTTGGTCAGCCGCCAGAACTGCCTGTAAGCGTACTTCCAACAGAATTAGATATTGCTAGAAGCTTCTTGTATAACAAACAAAAGTGAATGATAAAAACCTCTGGAAAAAAAGAACCTGATAATTCTATTATTGCAGAGATTATTGTATCACAAGTTGAAAGCGTTTATAAACGTGCATCGTTACCAACAGTTACAAAAGACACAATTAAGGACCGTGTTCTCAAAGTTTATGAAAAGCGTCAAAGTATAATCCGAATACCAACTGCTAGAAGGTATAAGAACCCAAAGTCACCAAATCCCAATGATCTCTCAGACTTCTTTAAAAATAAGAAAGTTGAGTTTCGCAAAGAAATTTCTGGTTTGTTTGAAGTTGTTGATAATAAGAATGTTCTAAGGATGGAGAGAGATTTTCTTGAAGGTCAGCGATCTATTTGAAAGATATTCATAAGTAGTACAGTGGATAAAGATGCTACAAAAAAAAAAACAGCAGAAAAAGTTAAGTAAGAAAGCCGACAACACCAGGAGTGTAAAAGAACGACAACGACGAGAATCGCAGTTTGAAACTGTTGCTTCCGTGAGTGTGAAAATTGGCAGAGATGAGGACAAAAACTCCGAGGAAGATAACAGTACTACAAGTCCGAGTATTAATACAGGTTCGGACTTCCAGAATAAACCAAGTACATTGACCTCAGCCTCAAGTACTGCTAGTGTTGTAGAAGTTGCTTTGAAGAATCGAGGAAGAGATCTTCGACAGATAGCAGAAGCAAAGGTGCGTAATTTGATCTCTGATAGAGCAACTGCTTCGATTGTTAATGCCACTCTTCATTTGTACAATATTCCCGAAATAATTGACAAATCAAATGTTTGCAGAGCTGTTAATGTAATATTAGAAGAAGACGATGCAGTACCATTAGTGGTGTGTTGTGAAATTGGTTACGATGGTCGAAAAGATGTGACTTTAACCCAAGAGAGAGTAGGTGAGAAACACTATCAATCAAGGAAAACTGAGGAACATGTTACAATAATTTCACTCCCTAATGGAAAGTTGCTGGGTCATGTATCACCAACCGATGGTAAAGCTATAACTGTTTCTAAATCTCTCGTCCAGTTTCTACAAGAAAAAAACATAATTGATCAAACTGAAGCCTTGGCATGTGATGGCACTAACACAAATGTTGGAGCAGAAGGGGGAATAAACCATTTGATTGAAGTAAGCATTGGGCGTGCTTTACAATAAAATGTCTGCCTTTTGCACGCGAATGAGTTGCCGTTAAGCCACATCATCAATGAGTTGGATGGTCCAACTGCAGGTGCAAACACTTTTGCTGGACCTATTGCCAAGTTACTACCAGGTGTCTTGAATTATCCTGTCATCAAACACAAACGCTTTGGTTGTTCTCAACCTCTATCTAAAATACCCAACGAAGTTTAGACGGATTTGTCGACAGACCAGAAGTACATGTGGAAAATTACATCAGCGCTCACTTCCGGGCAATTCGATAAGGATTTAGAGCGTCTGAAGATTGGACCATGTAGCCACAGTATGTGGCTTACGACTGCATGCCGCATCAGTAGGCTGTATGTGAGTACAACAAAACCATCAACAGTTTTAAACATTTTGACTATCTAGTCAAAATTTTGAATGTTTATGCTCCTAGGTGGTTTACTTTGAAGTATTATGAGCTTGGGATTAATGGTCCTCAAAATCTGTTTTTCCGAATCAAAAGATCTGAGTTAATAGAAGATAGAGCTGCTAAGAAGATTGTACAGCGCTGCATATAACGGAACGCTTTTTATGCCCATCCAGAAAGTATTTTGCTAGCTAAACTAGCCTCATCCCATAAGCCAGATTGCATAGATGCTGTTCAAACGATCATTGAAGCCAGAGCTAATCACCACCATCAAGCTTCTTCGATACGTCTTTTCCGGATGCCTGAACTAAATTTTAAAGCATCAAAGTGATTAAGTGGAGTGAAACTGACATACTAGAACCTCCTTTGATTAAAAAAAATGTTAAATAGCGAATTGTTGGCCCTGGTACCAAAATTTAAATGTCACACCCAAATGGTTGAACGAGTCGTGAAGAAGGTTACAATGGCTAGTCAGAAGGTAGTAGCTACGAAGCGACGGGATTCAACAATAAAAACATCAATGGTGAATCGCGCTAAATATCCAAAGCAGGAATCAAAGAAGGATTTTATTCCAAAATAGTTATATTTTCACTAAATAAATTTTTTTTTATTTTACTATAGACTATGTTGCATAATTTTAAATTCTGCATTTTTTATTGTTTTTTAAAAACATTAAAATCCTGCTTAATATTATATAATATTAAGCAGGAATAATTTGTAATAAAATGAAAAATATTGTAGTTTTTTGGGCCATTTTCCTGTTGCCTAAAGTCAGAAATTTCAAATCAATGAAGGAGGGTCAAGATAAGAACCGATTTTGATGAAATTTGGAATATAGCTATGTGTACTCCATTGAAGTAAATTAACAACTTTGGAGCGGACATTTTCAAAAAAAAGTTTTATATAAACCCCCTTAATATACACAGCAATATTAGCAATTATCGTTATTATTATATAGCTAAGAACAACAATAT